TAGTGTGGGGGTGGCGGAGTGTTGGTGACGTGAGGAAATTAGAGTTTTTTTGCATTCAGCCCCCTCCTGAACCAGTGGTGTCACAAGGGGGTGTGGCCCTTACCTGGGTGACACCATTGGAGGGGTGACAACAAAATGACTGATAGTCATTATGGTGTCACCCCCTCTGAAAAATCGGCACTCGGTCATGAGAGGACTCAGCGGCATACCTCATCCCGCCAGGCGACTGTCCCCTCCTCTCTCTGCCAGGCAGGTATCAATAAGATGACCACGCATGCGCGATGACGTCACGGCGGGGAGTCACCCGGTAACCGCTCCGGGTGACACCCGGCCTCGGGACGCCCCGGCCCTGAACAAGCAAAAACTGACAGTATATGGCCAGCTTAACACTTACAGGTCTTGTCCCTCCCCCAGCCTGTCACTGGACATTAAACAATGAAGCAGCCTCATCTCCCTGCTCTCTCCTTCTATCAGCATGCTTTTTGCTACCACTTGCTCCTTGTGCTGCTCCTCTCCCAGTCTGAGCTCTGCTGTATGAGGCTACTAAGTCAGGTACATTAAATACATTTATTGACGTATTATTGAACACAGAGCTGCCATCAATGTTCGATCTGCCTGGAGCGCTGCTTCCGAGCACAGACGTCAAGCTGCACCACTTGGAATTCTGGGAGGCTGAATTCCCGGGAATATTAAGAACGATCAATACTTATCGACTCGCTTTGTATTCTTCCCTTTGATAGCGGGAAAAGCCATGGTTTGTCGCCATGGACGCGGGCGCAGCAGGATTAAGAGTCGAAGCCTCTCGCCGGCCGTGCATCTTTCCCGAAGTTTTATTTCTTTTTCCCGGAAGATTTCTGTCACTGTCATCACCAGATCGGCATCGATTAGGCCGGGATTTACGACGCCGCGTGATAAACGCCTCTCGCAAATTGATTAATGCCGCAGAAGAGCGCCCGAGGAGCCTGCCAGGCGAAGTCTTAAATAATGTTGGAAGATTGAGCCGATGTCTCAAGGCTGCGGAAAACAAACAGGGACACGCATGTCAGGGAGATAAATACTCGCGCTGTTTGAGTTGTGCGCGCAGGCCATTTGTCTGGGAGATAAGGAACGGCACTGCTCCCAGAGATAAGGGGGGGAGGGGATGGCGAGAGCTCCTGGCAATTAGGATCCGGGGAACGGAGCGCAGCCGATAGATTCAGCGCGACCAATCTACGCTCAGCCGTTTACTTATTTCCTGCCGTTGGCGAATCCGGCAATTTATTTATTTTTATTTTTTTTAGATTATAAAAAAAATATTTCTGCAATTTTTTCTTTTTAGGAGCGTATTGTGATTGAGAAAACGGCTGACTGTAAATGTAATGCCGACCTAGACTCCAGATGTTGGCTCTGGGATCGCTTCACGCTAATGCGCTGCTGTAACGCATGCTAAAATATGCAAATTGTGCGTTTTTTATTATATTATTAATATTTAAAAGATAACTATGGCCCAACCTTTTTAATTTTTTTCCATAGTTCTCTTCAGGGACGCAGGAGGACATTTCCACCTGTGACCCAAAGCTCAGCATATAGCGGACTGTTGCCTGCTATATGCTGGCCGCGCAGAGCCGCGCTGCAGCCAGGACGGTTCATGACAATGTTGTCAGGATCCGCTGCCGTGCCGGTCTGGTTTTACATCCGGTGCTGGTAGCCCGTTGGAAATGACAACTGATGCACCGTGAAGGTCTGGCATGGCGCTGTGAAGGAGTCCTAAAAGAATATTTAAAAAAAAAAGATAAAGAATGTTCAGAGCTGGTCATAGACAGGAAGACTCCCCTACCAATGTTCATATGATAAAGAGGCGGACCTACGGAACAATGGGCCCTGGTGCAAGATTTTATCGTGGGGGGGATTTTGTCTTCGGCCACTAACGCCCCTGGCACCAGAGGAGCTTATACTGTAATGCCCCCCCCCACAGTCTCACGCTATTATTATACATGTATATAGCTCTGACATATACCGCAGTGCTGTACAGAGAACACCAGCCAGTCACATCAGTCTCTGTACAGAGCTTACACTCTAATGCAGAATGGCACTGGCTGTGGGGGGACTACAAATCCCAGCAATGCAGAACGATATACGATTTGGACTCAGGACTTCGTAACGCGCTGGACTCGGGACTTCGTAACGCGCTGGACCCGGGACTTCGTAACGCGCTGGACCCGGGACTTCGTAACGCGCTGGACCCGGGACTTCGTAACGCGCTGGACTCGGGACTTCGTAACGCGCTGGACTCGGGACTTCGTA